AAGGAGCCACCAGAGAGGAGAGGGCAGGGCTGGTGAAGAATCTAGGTGGAGAGCTCACGAATACCATAGGGAAGGGAGAAACTTATTCTAGGTAAAGTGCAGCCCCATGCTCATAATTAAAAACCTACAGCCTTAGAGGTTTTGTTGTTTTGTTGTGTTTTCTTAAAGACATAACCCTATTTACAGCATAGCTTGAGCACAAACATTCTTTTTGAATTATCTTTTCACAGAACCATAAAATTAACTTTCTGCTAATACACTAGCCTTGATAAGACGCTAAGGCATTATAATGATGCCCTTAACACTGATACATATATAGATATAGATACACAGACAGATGGATATCTATACCTATGTTGGTTTAAGGCTTTATCATAGTGGTAGAATGTGTCAAAATTGGGCCTGAAACTAGTGGTAAGCAAAGTTAAGAATGTTCTGTAGCTTAACCTAAACTGGACCTTTGGAAGAACTTTAATCTGGCTTCTGTAACGCATTTTAAAGTAAAGAAAGTTAATAAGGGCTATGTGAATTCAGTCTCGAGGACAGAGTGAGAGGCAATCCTCTGAAGATCTTATTGCCATTGTTTTTAAGAACATGATTAAAGGCAATGAGATCAGCCACATGCTAAACGGTGATAAATTTAGAGAAAAAAATCTAATTATAATAGTAGTTCATTAATGTTAAAAAAAAAAGATCCTACTTTCTGAAAGCAATAATATTTACTGAGTTCCTCCGATGTTTGGGGCATGCAATGAAACCTTGGTCCCCTCCCTTCAGGACTGTTCCCGTGGTGGTCGGAGGTCAGTGGTAGTGAAATAAGGGATGATTTGGGTCCCACAGAAGGTGTCTGTCCTGAAGGAGTGGACACCCCAGCAGAGAAGGAATCTGGGGGCTGGAGGGAGTGAAGGCTGTGAGGGCCTGGGCAGGGGCAAAAAGTCACGCACTTTAATTGAACATTCAGTACCAGTTAAGTAGGGTTCCTACACATGAAGCCTTACCTGATCAGCTCGATGTAAATTTGTTTGGTTCCTGCTG